GGTGGGTGATGGGTATTGGGGAGGGCGCCTTTTGGGATGAGCACTGGGTGTTATATGGAAACCAATTTGACAATAAATTTCATATATTGAAAATAAAATAAAATAAATTTCGATATATCTGCATGCAAGAGATCAAGAAATAAATAAAAATATGCCCAAGAAGAATATTTAGGGACACCTGGGTGACTCAGTTTGTTAAGCATCTGACTTTGGCTCAGCTCAAGATCTCACGGTTCATGGGTATGGGCTCTGCATCCAGCTCTGCACTGACAGCTCAGAGCCTGGAGCCTGCCTTGGATTTCGTATCTCCCTCTCTCTGTGCCCTGTCCCCTGCTTGTGCTCTCTCTCTGTCAAAAAATAAATAAACATTAAAAAAAGAATATTTAATGGTTGGGGTAAATGTTTATTCTAAATATGAAGTGGGGGAAAATAGATGTATACATCTAGATATGCAACCTGATTCTAATTTTTATATATATATTTCTGTGTGTATGTGGTGTGTGAATTATCATAACTCTGAGCATGTTATAATTTACCGTGTTTTCAATTTTCACACATACAAAAACCACTGATTTAGAAACTGAATTGAAAGGCTGACAGAGTCGACTTGGTTCATTTCCAGTCATGGATTCTTGATCAGCTGTGGCTGCTGGTCCTGAGGTCTTTGGGGCACAACAGTACATCATGTCTTCCTAGCACTATTATTTCAGTCAGACCTCATCACTTCTCTGGAAGCAGCCCTTCCCGTCTATTCTCCACACTTTTATTGTTAGTCCCAGACTGGATGACATTACAGTCTTTTCTTAGTTCCCTGTCACCTCTAGGACAAAGCCTGAGACGTTGCCCCACAGTGTGAGGCCCTTTGTAACAGTCCCTGTTCACAGCTTCATCCCTTTTCCCACCACCCCCACCCCCAAAGACTTCATGCTTTACTTGTGCCAGCTCCTTGTGCCAGACTGAACTGATTTGAACATCCTTGCCTCCATCTTTTGCATAAATTACTTCTTGCTAAGAATTGTCCTTTCTTACCTCCTTCCTGAAAGTGTCTTCCCTTTAGGAAGTCCTTCCCCTGGGCTGAGTTGGAGCTCTTTCCTCTGTATTCCTACTGTACCCTGGTCACAACTCTCTGACCGTTGGCTAATTTGTATATCTACTTTAGAAAGTAGTGAGCTACTTGAGAACAGAAACTTGTCCCTGTGTTTTGTTTTTTGCTTTTTTGTTTTTTGCCTTCTGTCCACAGTAGAATATCTGGCGTGTGGTAGAAATAATAGTTTTGATGAAGTTTTCTTCCTCATCTGAATGTACTATTGTATTTTGTCCTAGGCTACAATTAACATTCTCCTGACACTTGACCAACATGGATTTCAGTAAATGTCTGTATAATATTGGGGAACAGTTGGGCAGTGACGAGCTGGCCTCCCTCAAATTCCTGAGCCTGGACTACATCCCACAAAAGAAGCAAGAACCCATCAAAGATGCCTTGATGTTATTCCAGAGACTCCAGGAAAAGAGAATGTTGGAGGAAAGCAACCTGTCCTTCTTGAAGGAGCTGCTTTTCCGAATTAATAGACTGGACCTGCTGTTCAACTACCTGAACACCAGCAAGGAAGCGATGGAGCAGGAGCTTCAGATACCAGGCAGAGCCCAGATCCCTCCCTACAGGTGGGGAGAACCTAAACAATTCAGACACTGGGAGGTGTGGGTGCAGTGGACATATCTTTGTGGGCAGGGCTGATGGCAGGTGTCTGTGTGGTATGACTTTGGAAGTTCCTTGAAGATGTCCCACCAGGGTCAGATTAAGACATTTAGAGACCCTATATATAATTCAGGAAAAAAAGTTAAACCATAAAATAAAAACACTTTTGTTTCCAAAGTGAAATATTACCTATAGGTATGCTGAAATTAAAACAGACATCTTCTGTATGTTGTCTCTCTCTGTTCTGTCTCCTCTTTTGTTGCCTCTGCTCTGCCTCTGTCCATAGCATGTGCTTACTTTGCCTATTATTGGATAAAGTGTCACTACTTCTTACATGAAATCCCCCTCCTGCCTGCTTGTGGATGACTATGGATATTCTCAGTGGGGTGTTAGGCTTTTATTCCACACTGAAAGACTTGTATCACAAAGTTCTCCAATGAGGGGTGTATGCTGCCATTCTGGACAGGTCAGGTTGGACCCCACGAAGATTGTCTGGCCCCTGTGTGCTTAGCTTCTGCCAGGAGAACAGTGGAGACTTTGGTCGTCTGTCCTGCCAAACGCCTCACAGCTAGGCCTCTCCCCACCTGTGGGAGAGTGGGTACCCAGGGCTGATAACAAGCCATGTTCTGTTACCTCTTGATGAGTTGGTAACAGACTTTTAAAATAGAAACACATTACCAACTTCTCTATTTCAATATCCCCTCTGTAAAGTTCTTTTTAGCTTTCCTTCTGGAAACTTCTACTCAAGCCTTGGCTGTGGCCCATTTCTCAGTCTGTTCTTTCTTGTCATTAACAATGACATGTGTGACAGTAAGTCCTCACAGCCAGGGCTGAAAGCCACTATCTTCTACTGGCCTGTCTATTTATGAACACCCTGGTCCTTAATCTCAGAGATCTGAGATTCTGGCATGTTCCTTATCATACGTTTCTCTACTCGAAGCTTGAGCATTTTGAAAGAGAGATATTCTGGGTATACGAGTTTCCTAGGGATGCTGTAACAAACTACCACAGACTGAGTGCCTTAGTGCAGTAGAGACATTTATACACTCATAGTTCTGGGGGTTAAAAGTTTGAAGTCAAGGTGTCAACAGGCTTGGATCCTTTCAGAGCTCTAGGGAGAATCTGTTTTATGTTTCTTTCTCCCCTAGCTTCTGGCACTGGCAGGCAATCCTTGGTGTTCCTTGTCTTTTAGATGAATCACTCTAAGCTCTGTCTCCTCTCTGTGCCTGTTTGTTGGAATTTCCCTCTTCTTGTAAAGACACCAGTCATTGGGTTAGGGCATACCCTAATTTAGTGTGACCTCATCTTAACAAGATTACATCAGCAAAGACCCTTTTTCCAAATAAAGTTGCATTCCCACATCCAGGATGGACATGAATTTAGGAGAAGCATTGGGGGAGGACATTATTTAATACTGGATAACTTTGGCTTAATGGAATTGTGACATCTCTATAACAATTTTTTCCATTAAGGCACAAATTAGTCCTAAAAACAACAACCCTAGAATGAGGAAAGCTGGAGAGTCTCATCTTAGGCCCACCATCTTGGTCTTCTGAAAGTTGCACTCTTTCTGCCACATAAGCAAAGTTGAAGCATATTATCAATGCCACACAATGAGCTGTAACTCTCTGTTGGAGGGCTAAGAGTCCCTACAAGGGAGGATCTATCTGTTAAACTCTTTAACATGTTAGCTTGGGAACAAAAGGTCAGCACAAGTTCTACAGTTAATCATTGTTGGATGTTAGCCAGGAAATAAAAAGTATGCTAGTGTGGCCACTTTCCACTTATAAGAAAGCCCTAGACATTTTTATTTTCAAATTATAATTGCTACCTATAAAATAAGTATCTTATGAACTACCCAGATTTGTTTCTAGACGGTGATGGAAGCTAGTAAGTTTTAGTAATGAGGAAAGTAAAAGGGAAAATACTTTGTAATAAAGTTAAAAGGGACAGTAGCTTTTGATTGGACCTAATCTCAACCAAACTTAGAAAGCTTTGGAGAAATACTTCTAGGGTAGAATCCATGAGGGGGAGGATGAAGCAGATGATAATACTGAGTAACTTCCAGTTCCACACTAAATTTATTTTCAGAATTTTCATTTTATTTATTTATTTTTTTAATTTTTTTTTTAACCTTTATTTTTGAGACAGAGAGAGACAGAGCATGAACGGGGGAGGGTCAGAAAGAGGGAGACACAGAATCTGAAACAGGCTCCAGGCTCTGAGCTGTCAGCACAGAGCCTGACGCGGGGCTCGAACTCACGGACTGCGAGATCACGACCTGAGCCGAAATCGGACGCTAACCGACTGAGCCACCCAGGCGCCCCAGAATTTTCATTTTCTAATTTGAAGTTAGCATGTTTTTGTGTTAACGTTATTTTCCTTTACACCATAATAGTGAAAGGTTTTCTGAATTATTAAACATTCCTTTGTTCGTTCAATAAACATATCCTGAGAACCTATCATGGATTAAGAAATAATAATGCCTGGGGCACCTGGGTGACTCGGTTGAGCCTTTGACTCTTGATTTCAGCTTGGGTCCTGATCTCACTGTTGGTGGTGTGGAGCCCTGCAATGGGCTCCGCCCTGACAGCACAGAGACTGGTTGGGATTTTCTCTCTCTCCCTCTTTCTTTGCCCCTCCCTGGCTCGCTCTCTCTCTCTCTCTCTCTCACTCTCTTCCAAAATAAATAAACCTAAAAAAAGAAAAAAGAAACAATAAGGGTGTCTGGGTGCCTCAGTCATTTGAGCGTCCAACTTCAGCTCAGGCCATGATCTCACCATACATGAGTTCAAGCCCCAAGTCAGGCTCTGTGCTGACAGCTCAGAGCTTGAAAACTGCTTCAGATTCTGTGTGTGTGTGTGTGTGTGTGTGTGTGTGTCTCTCTCTCTCTCTCTGCCCCTCCCCCATTCACATTCGGTCTCTCAAAAATGAATAAATGTTAAAAAAAAGTTAAAAAAAAAGAAATAATAATGCCTATTGTGTATTGAATACTTAGTATGTTGCCAAAGATTGGTTTAAGCACTTCAGATAAATATAGTCATGTCATTCTCAATATATCCCAGTGGTATATAGAATTATCTACAAGTTTATAGGTGAGGGAAAAAGTACATAACATGTCTATAGTCACACAGCTCTGAGATGGTGGAACCAAGCTTCCAATACCTCAGTAGTCTGGGGCCTCTGCACTTACTGTACCTCATGACTCACTGGGCTTATGGAAACAAAAAGGACATGGACTCTGCTCTCAGGGGACTCAGAGAGCTTCATAAACAATTATAACATTGTGTGTAAACCTTCTGCTGTGGCAAAGGCACAGTGGGTTGAATGCAGCTCTGAAGACACTCAGTGGTCCCTGAGCTGTTAGTGGATGAATGGTTGGCTGTCTGCAGATGGACAAGGGAATGTGGGTGTGGGGAGCACAGCATAAGGGGTGAGGAGCAGGGCAGCCAGGTGTGTTTAAAGAGGAGATGAGGGTGGGTGGTGAGGAGTGGCCTGAGAAGCTGAAGGGTAGGCTGGGCTTCATAAAGGTCTGTATTCCAGAACCATGTGTTTGCCCTTCGTATGGGAGAGCACTAGCAAGTTTTAATTAAGGAAGTGACGATCCAGTTTGCATTAAAAAAAATTTTTTTTTTAACGTTTATTTATTTTTGAGACGGAGAGAGACAGAGCATGAATGGGGGAGGGTCAGAGAGAGGGAGACACAGAATCTGAAACAGGCTCCAGGCTCTGAGCTGTCAACACAGAGCCTGATGCGGGGCTCAAACTCACGGACTGCGAGATCATGACCTGAGCCAAAGTCAGCTGCTTAACCGACTGAGCCACCCAGGTGCCCCATCCAGTTTGCATTTTGAAAAGCATAATTTCCTAAGTAAAAACTTTTTTCTACTGAAACAAACTCTTGATTTTATAGTGAGGGACCAAGGAAAAACACACTTCACTTAACTGAAATGAACTGAATGACAAAATTAGTGGAACTTTAAATTATGTTAAGGGGAGAATAGTTGGGCATGAGTCAATAGCCTTCTGTGCCATCACAGCAGCCACTTTTCAAGAACTCCACTCATAAATTATGTCATTAGCTATCTTTGTTTTAAGGGGAAGTGAACAGAATCAAGTCTCCACTGTGACTCCTTTTATCAAATTGGAAATTATTTATGAAAACATTTCTTTTCTTTGATGTCTGTTTGTTTGTGTATATATGGATGTATGTATGTATTTAAAGAGCCCATGCACAAGCTGAGAAGAGGCAGAGAGAGAAGAGAGAGAATCCCAAGCAGGCTCTGTGCTGTCAGTGCAGACCCCCCCTATGGGGCTCAAACTCACGAACCATGAGATCATGACCTGAGCCAAAATCAAGAGCTGAATGCTTAACTTACTGACCCTAAGAAACCATATCTAAAGTGTCTCCATTTCCCACCACAGGGTCATGCTTTTTCAGATTTCAGAAGATGTAAACAAATTGGAATTGAGGTCGTTTAAGTTTCTTTTGAGCCAGGAGATCTCCAGATGTAAAGTGGATGATGATATGGTAAGACCCGGTGTTTCACCAAGATTTGGTCCTGAGGTTGAGTCAGCCAGTGAGAACTGCTGAGACTGGAGAGAGGGCTAGTCTAGTAAAAACAACTTGGACTCTCACTTTTCAACTGGGGGAGAAGAAAAAAGTTGTCAGGCAGCAGTGTTGTAGATAGGATTCCTTTGTATACTGGGAAATGCTTCTCACATTAATTATCAGGAGCATGACAGAGTCAGGAGCTACAGAGGAAGATTGATTGTGGAGGTACAGCCTGGTGTGGGACCTTACAGAGCCAGGAAAGACAGTGGTGAGCTGGAGACACCTTCCCACTTGTGTAGTCTCTGAAATCAACTGGGATCTGGAACTCTATGCGTGTGTATGCATGTGTGCGTGTGTGTGAACGCGGGACTGGAGGTGAATCAGGTACCAGAGGCAGTGTTGGGAGAGGGACAGTCCCCAGGGCTGTCACCATGGAGACCAGGGTACTGTGTCTTAGCCATGCATCTCAGGCTCTTTCATAGACTTCACATAAAGGTGCCCACAGGTAGTTTCAGCATAGGGCTTGGGGCCTACGGCCTAGGGCCTGGATGCCATCTGATGTCATTTCTCTATCTTCTCACTTCTATCTGATTGATCCAGAAAACACAGAATTGCTTTTCTAGTGCTATATGGGTTTTATAAGACCAGGCAGGATGTCCTCTCAGGAGGGTCAGTTTGGGAAGCTAGGGTGGGCCCTCTGTTTGGAGAGAATGGAATTAAAAAAAGAAAATCTAATCTAAAAGCCAGTATGTATCAATCCAGTCTTCCAACTTCATTTCTTTTCCTTTTAGAACTTGCTTGATATTTTCATAGAGATGGAAAAGAGGGTCATCCTAGGGGAAAGAAATTTGGACACTCTGAAAAGAATCTGTGACCAAATCAACAAGAGCCTGCTGAAGAAAATCACTGATTATGAAGAATTAAGCAGAGGTAGAAATAACTTGACAGCTGTGAATTAGCAAAATGTATTCTTAAATTGGCAAGTCCCTCTATGTCATGATTGTTTCTAATCAAATATGTGTTTATTTTTTAATTCAGAGGGAAGAATGAGCCTTCAAAGAAGTCCAGATGAATTGTCAAATGGTAATATTGGAAATACGGTTTTAAGACTTACTTAATTTACTATCTGACACCCCTATTGCCTCCTCCCCACACCTTTCTACCACATCTACATCTTAATGGTCTTGCTCTCCTAATATCAAGAAGTAGGCTCAGTGCCTGCTTGTCACCTCTACACATTGAAAAACATAAAAAAGTTGTCAAAAGACATACACCTTGCAGCCCCAGTGTGACAAGTTCGAAATAGATGAAGAGTTAGTCAGTAAAAAGATTTTTACTTATTCTGTGGACTGCAAGGATATTGCATTCAATTGCAGTCTGTGAATTTTCATTTTAAAGGGGACCTTACGATGTCCTGGGTGCTTTGTGTTTCTTTACCAAAGTATCGTCCCTGCCATGTCTCATTCTCCGTTGCTTGTAGGGGAGGAATCCCTGGCAATGATGGCATTATCGGACTCTCTAGAAGAACAGGACAGTGAGTCACAGGTATGGAGAAATCCCGGTTCCTTTTTTCTCTTCACATTGCATATTCTAGTTCTTATATTCCTTAGCTTTTAAGCTTCTTAGATAAACTACTAAGGGGCAGACACTTGTGGGAAATTTTGAGAACTATAGAAAATTTTCACAAAAGGACAAATTTTAAAATGTTATTTTTTAAGTTTTAATGTTAACAAGTGTTGACATCTTATTTCAAAACCAAAGACAAAGGCATTGGAATAGTTGGTGGGCAGAGCAAGTGAGAAGCCTCCTATGCAATTCTTTCAGCAGCTGCCTCAGCCTGAGTGGGAGAAAGCTTTGGGGGGAAAAGTCTAGAAGGACTGGGAAAAGCAAGCTTTTCTTTTAGCTTGATATTTCAAAAACTGTTTCTAGTTAGTGATTTAGGTGTAAGCAGCAAATGCTCATGATCTTGCCGGCTCTATATTTTTGTCTCAAGGAGCCGGTGCATGAATTGCCTTTCTAGACATAATTTCTTCGATTTATTAACCTTCAAAGACTCACCAGCTACATTCTGTTTCATTAGCCTGTTCCCTACTCTCTGTGGCAGGAAGCAAAGGAAACCCTGAAGGTTATCAGTCTAGTGGGAGACTTGAAAGTAAGCTGAGAGAGACCAGTTAAAAGTGGGCTCCTGAGCAGATTACCAGATCTAAGTCTGAAAATCAAAGAGTAACCAAAGTCATGTGGCACTTTGCAAATAGCAAAGTGCTCTGTAAGTGTGGTCCCTATTGAACTGCTAAACATACTAAGTGCAAGAGAGCTCTGGTAACTTGCACAAAGTCTTAAGGTTATTAAGTAGTTGAGCCAGGAACTTGAGCCCTTAGTGTGGAGCCCTTTTCTCTGCCTCGAGGAGCTACATAGATTTCCCAATACGTGCTGAATATCTCAGCACTGAGACAGCCCTGGGAGAGTCAGAATACAGGGCCATCTCTGACTGATGCTGTCAGGTACTAGAATCTGGATCCTGTAACCTGCAGCATAGCCAAGACCTGCCTGACTAGTGCATCTCTCTCCTCCAATCGCTGTGGTCCTGAGAGCCAAACTAAGTCATCGGCTTTCAAAATCCAGGAACCACACTATGTCATGTGTGAAGGGCAGACCCTCAACTGTTAGCCCAGAAACATAGATGAGTTGAATGGCTAGCCAAGGGAATCACAAGGTGACAGACAGGCAACCCAAAGACAGCATTAGGATGTTCATTCATTCATCAACTCCTGACAGAGCTTTCACAAATTAATAAATTCTAGGGTGGGAGGGAGGGGAAAGTGGGTGATGCGCATTGAGGAAGGCACCTGTTGGGATGAGCTCTGGGTGTTGTATGGAAACCAATTTGACAATAAATTTCACATTAAAAAATTTAATAAATTCTAGTTCCTGGTGCAGATGTTAGCCACCTTGAGCGTAAACTAAAACAAATAATGAAAATATGCTCTGATGACAACCATATTAATATATGTGCAAAGTGCTCAGGAGGCCCAAGTACTGGGACACTGATTTTACACACTGTGGGGCAGAAGTCTGGGGAATCATGTGTCCGGAGAACAGGTGGAAACCAGTTCACCAGAGAAACAATGTCAAGTTGGGGTAGGGACATTGTAAGTACACTTGGGTCCCAGTTTGGCTAAGGGGACAGACTGGCTTCTTACTAGGGAGTCATCTGTTCACATCTCAAGTGTTTGACCCACAGAGTCAGCTCCTGGGTTGGATTTTTGTTTTCCAGACATCGGACAAAGTTTACCGAATGAAAAGCAAACCTCGCGGATATTGTTTGATCTTTAACAATTATGATTTTAGCAGAGCACGGAAGGATGTGCCCAAACTTCAGAACATTAAGGATAGGAATGGAACAGACTTCGATGCAGGTACAATAGGACCCTGAAAAGAAGTGAAATATTTCTAATACCTATGTTTTTATCAAAAGGAAAGAACAAAATTGTACCAACAGGGCCACATGTTTCAGAAAAAAAAAATAGATCTATTTCCTGGTGGAAGTGAAGAACATTCTTATGTATTCGTTAGTTTTCTGCGTTTGGTTTTTAATTTCTTAATTTCATTTTTTGAAGTGTTTATTTATTTTTGAGAGAGAGAGAGAGAGAGCATGAGCAGGGGAGAGAGGGGAGTACAGAGGATATGAAGCAGGCTCTGTGCTGACAGCCGAGAGAGCCCGATGTGGGGCTCGAACTCACAAACCATGAGATCATGACCTGAGCCGAAGTTGGATGTTCAACTGACTAAGCCACCCAGGTGACCCTGCTTTTGTTTTTTTTAAATTAATTTTTAATCAAAGTAATGTATCTAGGGTAAAATATTGAGTCTTAATAAAAGACTAATAATAAAAAGCAACAAGCTTTGCTTTTAATTCAACTAAACTAATACGGCTTCTGTAGAATGTATTAATTATTAGGTGTAAACATTGCTTTGGGATCAAGACCATATATACGAGTTGCATTTATAGGGGCATCTGGGTGGTTCATTTGGTCAAGCGTCCAACTTTTGGTTTCTGGTCAGGTTGTGATCTCGCAGTTTTGTGGGTTTGAGCCCCGCATCAGGGTGTGCACGACAGTGCAGAGCCTGCTTGGGATTCTCTTTCTCTCTCCCTCTCTCTCTGCCACTCCCCTACTCATGCTGTCTCTTTTAGCTTGATATTTCAAAAACTGTTTCTAGTTAGTGATTTAGGTGGAAGCAGGAAATGCTCATGATCTTGCCGGCTCTATATTTTTGTCTCAAGGAGCAGGTGCATGAATTGCCTTTCTAGACATAATTGCTTCGATTTATTAACCTTCAAAGACTCATCAGCTACATTGTTTCATTAGCCTGTTCCCTACTCTCTGTGGCAGGAAGCAAAGGAAACCCTGAAGGTTATCAGTCTAGTTAGCTGTTAACTGTTAGCTGTCTCTGTCTCTCTCAAAATAATAAACTTAAAAAAAAATTTAGGGGCGCCTGGGTGGCTCAGTTGGTTAAGCGTCTGACTTTGGCTCAGGTCATGATCTTATAGTTTATGACTTTGAGCCTGCATCGGGCTCTATGCTGACAGCTCAGAGCCTGGAGCCTGCTTCAGAGTCTGTGTCTCCCTCTCTCTCTGCTCCTCCCCTGCTCGTGCTCTTTCTCAAAAATAAACATTAAAAAAAAAAATTAAAAATATTTTTAGAAGTTGCATTTATAAAAGTTGGGCTATAAGCGTAGATGAAATTGTCAGTCTTTAATAGAAATGGTCTTTTCAAATATTAAACTAGCCAGAAATTCTTTTGCTCAGCCTATTTAGGATAAGATTGAGAACTTATAGGTTAAATGAAAAAATAATTGGCAGCATGTGAAAATAGAAATGGTTACTACTAAAAGTGATAATAGAAATAATCCAACCCAACAACTGTATTTTTGAAAATGCCCTTAGCAGGGCCCTTAGTGTGGCTCAATTGGTTGACGTTATGAGTCATAATGTCAGGTAATGATATATATTTTTTTAACTGAATAAAGTTTGGAAAATTAATGTAGGTTGATTTTAATCATCAAGATTCTGCTAATGGTCTCTGTTAACAGTTGTTTATTCAAGCAAATCTATTCTAAGATTTCAAAAGCCACAGAGCTGAAGTCCACTGACTGTATCACTCATCATCATATACCTTGGTATTGGAGAAACAGGCCTTTGATTTTCATTAATTTTCTGTTAAAACACTTTTATTAAAATAATATTTGATTGTATTTCTGGGTTTTTGGTCAAAGGGTAGGTATAAATTTGCAGATCTCTAGGATGAAAAAGTCTAGAGATCTAATGTATGACATAATGACTATAGTTAATAAGACTGTATTGAATACTAGTATTTCAGGTGAACTCATCACACACACACTCACACACAGTAATTAAATATGTGAGGAGATATGTTATCAGCTTGACTGTGGTAATAACTTCATGCTGTACACCTTAAATATATATAATTTTTAGTTTTAAAAAAAGAATCAAGCAGCCTGAAAACGTTGAAAGACTTTTACTAGATCTTAGAGCACTAGGGGGAAAAATAATGTTATGCATATAGAAAACAAAGCAATGAAAAAATAATGCAATTACTAATTCCAGGAAAGAAAAAATTTAATAAGAAAAGAAGCATAATTAAGGTATATTTTCATCTTACTATTGATTCAACTAAAAGTTGTAAACAACTGGGGCACCTGGGTGGCTCAGTCAGTTAAGCGTCTGACTTCAGCTCAGGTCCTGATATTGTGGTCTGCAGTCCATGGGTTCGAGCCCCATGTCAGGTTCTGTGCTGACCCTCAGAGCCTGCTTCGGATTCTGTGTCTCCCTCTCTCTGCCCCTTCCCCACTACTCTCTCTCTCTCTCTGTCAAAATAATAAATAAACATCAAAAATTTTTAAAGTTGTAAACAACTGAATAAGAGTTCATACGCTCATCCTGTGGGGTGCCTGGCTGGCTCAGTTGGTTGAGTGTCTGGACTCGATTTTGGCTTCAGTCATGATCTCATGGTTAGTGAGTTTGAGCACTGACAGTGCAGAACCTGCTTGGGATTCTCTCTCCCTCTTTCTCTGCCCCTTCTCTGCATGTGCATGCACTCTCTCTCTCTCTTAAAATAAATAAACTTAAAAAAAAATGCTCATTTTCCATAATAGGAACTCAATACATAAGTTACATAAGGCTAAAATTTATAAAATAGTAAATAGCAAAGTGCCCAAATTCGTTACAAGATGGAGGCTAATACCAAAAAAAAAAAAGTAGTTAAAAGTTGAAAATGGTTGCATTCATGGAACATGATTGGGTAAAAGGGAGAAGTTGAAAAGGGATAGCTTTTTTGTAATAGGACTTCCAGTTCTACTTGACTTTTGAAAGGTTCATATCTTGCATTTTGGTAAACAATTTTTGAGAGTGCTTGAGATAAAATAAATATGGATCTTTTATTAAAAAGTGTTTTGGGGTGCTCCCGTGTGGCTCAATTGGTTGAGCATCTGACTCTTGATTTTGGCTCAGGTTATGATCCCAAAGTCATGGGATTGAGCCCTGCTTAAATTCTCTTTCTCTCTCTCAAAAAAATAAACATTTTAAAAAGTAAAATAAATTTAAAAAATTTAAAAATGTTTTTGCTTTTTGTTCTATGTAAGTAATACAATTATTATTTAGATTGGTTTGGTAGTAAGCCTATATAATAGCTCACCCATCTTATAGCCTAGTTGAGAAAAGACAAAAGGCCAACAATAGCACTCTCCCCTTTCTCATTTGCCTCAGGACTAGAAATGTTTTCTGCTAAGGGCAATAAATATTAGAAAACTATGGAATTCAGCCAGGTGGTATAAATGGCCTTGCTCTTCAGTTCTGTTTCACATTCTTTATCTGATCAATGTTCTCTCTATTGGGCTGTGGTCTGGGAATTACTGTGGTGTAATATGACTTTTCTTATTTCACTTTTCAGAAGCTTTGAGTAAGACCTTTAGTGAGCTTCATTTTGAGATTGTGAATTTCAAAGACTCTACAGCAAAGACAATCTGTGAAGTTCTGAAATCCTACCAAAGAATGGACCATAATAACAAAGATTGCTTCATCTGCTGTATCCTCTCCCATGGAGACAAAGGCATTATTTATGGCTCTGATGGGCAGGAAGCCCCTATCTATGAGCTGACTTCTTACTTCACTGGTTCAAAGTGCCCTTCCCTTGCAGGCAAGCCCAAAATCTTTTTTATTCAGGCTTGTCAAGGGGATAACTACCAGAGAGGTATAGCTGTTGAGACTGACTCCGAACAGAAGGAAGACTACTTAGAAATGGACTCATCATTTCAGAAGAGATATATCCCAGATGAGGCTGATTTTCTGCTGGGGATGGCCACTGTGAACAACTGTGTTTCCTACCGAAACCCTACGGAGGGGACCTGGTATATCCAGTCACTTTGCCAGAGCCTAAGAGAAAGATGTCCTAGGTAATTTTTGCTTGCTCTGCCTTTCATTCATTTCTAAATTTCTAGCTATGGATTACATAGTTGTACTTTCCACGTTAGTTGCAAAATGGGAGAGGGGGCAAGTGTTAATATCTTCAGCTCACAGATGGAAAAAAACTGAGGTACTTACTGCAGAGTTTCTTTTATTTAGCATCTGAAATGATAGGGTATCATAGAGCAGGGAATGATGGTAAAGTCAGCTCAGCTTTGTTTTTAGGTAGAACATGACTGAGCCAACTTAACTGGTTTTGGGAGTCTTCCAAGAAGGTACAATAACCCATTTCAATTTTTAACATCCTCCAACTCTGTCAAAGTTGTATAATAGCTAACCAACCTTAAACCCTCTTGGTGTGTTGTGGGAGATAAGTACCAAAGAGTAGAAACCCTTTATATTCCCACTAATTTGGCCTAATTTGAAGCCACAAAATGTGGGAAAATATTCTTCCTTCATTTATTATACCCTAAATGATGGTTTTGTGGTCACAGTTCACACAAATGCACATGTAATGGGTGAATAGCAAGAAATCTTCTAGCTTTATATCTCACCATGCTTTAAGTGTATGAAGAGTGGGAATTTCCCATGGTAGACAAAGGAGTGAATCATAACATCAACACCATGTTTTTCTTTTTTAACCTTGACTACGAATGAGCAAGTTGCCCAGCTGACCTGAGAAGAGAGGCTGGTGAGAAAGGGGTGGAGCAACTGTAGGAGACATTGGGTTTTCCCTTGCCCCAAAGTGATCATTAGATGATCACAGAAGCAATGTTGATCTGAGGCAGAGGATGTTTGGGGGGCACTGAAGCAATTATGGTGGCAAGTGACATAGTACATAGAAGAGTAAGGTACAAACAGATCAGGAGGGAAAGAACTCAAATCTGATGTTGACACCGAGGTTTCTGATGGTCAGTAGAGATCTTGAGTAAACCAAAGATAAGTTATTAAGCTCTGAAGCAACTCCTTTACCTGGAAAGCTTTGATACAAATTAGTTTAGCAACTTATGATTTCCAATGCCTGATGTTTTGAGGGAAAGAACTGTCCCTGAGTACAGCAGATGAGAAGGGTTTGCCAGTGTTGTTTCCCCACAGATGGTCACAATGTTGTTGTTTTTCAGGGGCGAAGATATCCTCACCATCCTTACTGAGGTGAACTTTGAAGTGAGCAATAAGGATGACAAGAAAAACATGGGGAAACAAATGCCACAACCTACTTTCACACTGAGGAAAAAACTCTTCTTCCCTCTTAATTGATGCTGTTTAGTTGCATAACACTATGCTTAATTTATTTGTTAGTAAAATGCTGCTATCAGCTTATTTTTTTTCTTTTGGATGGCAGGAAGGGGAGAGAATGGAAGTCAGGAAAACTTCATTCCTATGCAAATTCAAGCCTAAACCTCTGGCTTTGCAATAATAACTATTGGAGATTGATAGCCACAGGCATGGTTTTAATTTTATTTTTGATTCAATGAAAAAGTTCCTAAAAAACTTACAGTAGATAAAAAATACAATAAGTATAAATGAAATGTAACATCATAAAGTTCAAAAGCAGTGGCAGAATGTTCTTTGTACATCTCTCATCTGCTTTCAACCTAGAATCATTTTTCTAAATGTTTGTGAGAGACACAGAGCATGAGTGTGGGGGTGGGGGTGGGCAGAGAGAGAGACACACACACAGAATCTGAAGCAGGCTCCAGGCTCTGAGCTGTCAGCCCAGAGCCCCACACAGGGCTTGAACTCATGAACTGTGAGGTGATGACCTGGGCCAAAGTTGGGCGCTTAGCCAGCAGAGCCACCCAGGTGCCTCTCAACCTAGAGTCATTTGATTCCCTTCAAATTGTTAAGCATTAAATAAATAAAAAATAAAATAAAATAAAAAGGATGTTATTCCAAAGCTTTAACCTGGGACACAGAGTTAATGGTGGTGCAGAGATTTCATAAGGCATAAGAAGACTGGAAGTGGAGAAAGCAATTTCCCACTTGAGGACTCAGAATTAAGTGAATGTTGTTCAAGTATTGGGAGAGGATGTCAAGAAAACCATAATTCTCCTCCTTTCCATGAAAGAACTAATTCCTCATTCTTGGTTCCTATGAGAATTTGTCAGGCTTACATTCCTGCTAACTGGATGTGATTCTATGGGGCAGAATGTGAGGTACAACTGTAAAAGGTGTTGTTAAAAAGGAGACAGTAGGCCCAAATGGAGTCCCTTGTGCTAAACTCCATGTCAGCAAATTAAGACTTAATACCTAACCAAAATGCAATTCCCCAGGAATATAATCTTTAGTCAATCAACATGGAATCACCTGGTTAGCACTGGTGAAATAATCCTCCTGATTAACTCTTTCCATTCCCCTTAGAAGAGTGACCTAATTCAATTTGATCTTTAAATTTACTCAGTTGAATTTCTGTTGTTTAACAGTATGCAGGGGGATGCCAGTGACCTCCTCTCAAAGGTCACTGAGGGAGATTTTGTGATCTGACCTAGCTAAGAAAACAAACAAACAAACAAACAAACAAAAACCTGCTCATGTATAATGCTCCCACATCCAACCTGAGCTCTTCTGGCATGTGTGCTGGGCAATCTCAGAAACATGTGAGCCTCCTCTCCCGAGTTATGAGGAAACCCTGATTTCAGACACCATGACTCTGTCTAGATTTAGAGTATACAAAACTGAGGAATGATTTTCCTTGTTCTTATTATTTATAAGTACAATTAACCTCACTTTTGAAGGAACTGATGTTAATGGCATGAATTTTATTTTTTTGTACTTCCAGTCTCTCCCTTTCCAAGCCATCCTCTACACTAATTTATAAGTTTTTAAAAAAATTTTTTTAACGTTTATTCATTTTTTGATAGAAACAGAGTGAATGGGGGAAGGGAAGAGAGAGAGGGAGACATAGAATCCCTAGCAGGCTTCAGGCTCTGAACTGACAGCACAGAACCTGATGCAGGGCTCAAACTCACGGACCTTGAGATCATGACCTGAGCTGAAGTCGGACACTTAACCGACTGAGCCACCCTGGCGCCCCTGTAAGTTTTTTTAAATATAAATTTGAAGATGTAATTTCTTATGTTAAAAGCTTTTTTACCAATTGATTTGCTTTTGTTCTAACAATATTGTATCCCTTTCATGTATTTGCATTTGCTCTTTATGTGTTAATTCTAAATCTTTATAAACTTAAAAAAAACTGTTTCTTTAAAGAATGTTTTTTGAATAGTATTTCTTTTCAATAATGTTTTTAACATTATAAAATAGAATTTTAACTTACTGTTGGTTGGAGATTGTTTTGTTCATTTTGTGTTTGTTTTTTGTCATTGACCTCTCACAGGTGGAAAATGTTTGGATCATAGATATGTTTTACTTTAGTTCCCCAGTGTTGGCTCATACAGTTGTAAATTTTAAAAATTTATCGCCCATCTTTTCATGTGTCTGTTGGCCATCTGGATGTTTTCTTTGGAAAAGTGTCTATTTATGCCTTCTGCTCATTTCTTCACTGGATTCTTTGTTTTTCAGGTGTTGAGTTTGGTAAGTTCTTTATAGATTTTGGGTCTGAGTGGCTAAAATTAACAACTCAGAAACAACAGATGTTGGCGAGGATGTGAAGAAACGGGAACCCTCTTGCACTGCTGGTGGGAATGCAAACTGGTGCAGCTGCTCTGGAAAACAGTGTGGAGGTTCCTCAAAAAATTAAAAATAGAATCACCCTACAACCCAGCAATAGCACTACTAGGAATTTATCTAAAAGATACAGGAGTGCTGATGCATAGGGGCACTCGTACCCCAATGTTTATAGCAGTGTTTTCAACAATAGCCAAATTATGCAAAGAGCCCATATGTCCATCAACTGATGAAAGGATAAAGAAGATGTGGTTTATATATACAATGGAATACTACTTGGCAATGAGAAAGAATGAAATCCTGCCATTTGCAGCAATGTGGATGGAACTGGAGGGTATTATGCTAAGTGAAATAAGTCAGTCAGAGAAAGACAGATATCATATGTTTTCACTCATATGTGGAACTTAAGAAACTTAACAGAAGACCAGGGGGGAAGCGAAGGAGAAAAATAGTTTCAAATAGAGAGGGAGGCAAACCATAAGAGATTCTTAAATACAGAGAACAAACTGAGGGTTGATGGGGATTGGGGGGGGGGGGCGGGGAGAGGGGAAAATGGGTGATGGGCATTGAGGAGGGCACTTGTTGGGATGAGCACTGGTGTTGTATGTAAGCGATGAATCATGGGAATCTACCCCCCAAACCAGTTGCCTGCCCTGTGGGGATTTGAATTCTGATGATTGTTTAGAGAAGATGGCAAGGATCATCAGACACTTTTTCCAAAATCATAGTATAGGGAACACGATTGAGAAGTGGAGCAGTGGGGACACATGTAAAAGAGAAAGGATTTTTGGAATTGAATCAACAAATTACATTTTTGCTAGGTAAATGCCCCAGGGGGACAAAAGGTGTATTTCAAAATATAGTCAATATTTAATAGGAACAAGTTCTTCGGATCAGTGTTTTCATAATGAAATGTGTAAATGTGGAAGAGAAAATAGTATAATACCCAGAGAAAGTTTAGATCCAGGTATAGGGAACATCACTTTACAATGAAGAGTCTTGAAAGCCTGTATAACTGAGATGAGAATTCAAACATTCCCAACCACTTAGAAGAAAGGAAATTTTGAAAAGGCAAAAGTAGAACCCAGGCAACCCAAGAACTAAACTCATAATATACATTTCTCAAGAAACTCTCACGGGAGTTGTCTAAGCCTATGGAGATGGTGTTCCTAACATCTTTTGTATTGGAGAACAACTTTTCTGCTCATAGTTCTTGTTTTTCATTGCTATCATCTTCTAAATTATCAGAATCATTCTCATACATAGAGAGAAACCTCCCAGATCGTTCCTTATAAATTTCTTCATTCTTCCCAATTATTTTTTGCCTATAGAGAAAAAGAACATGTATCACTATAGACTCAAGGATAGAAGGGGATGTAGGATATCTGAGGGGAGAGAAATGTGGTTTCATTCCTTCTCTGGGGGCAGCTGCACACATTACTTATAGGGTTTTTTTTTTAATGTTTATTTATTTTGAGAGAGAGAGTCCCAAGCAGGCTCCACGCTGTCAGAACAGAGCCTGATGTGGGGCTTGATCCCATGAACCATGAGATGATGACCTGAACCGAAATCAAGTCAGACGCTCAACCAACCGAGCCACCAAGGCACCCCATACTTGCAGTGGTTTTGAATTTAATGAGAAATGATATTTAGGTTACCAAATTCTCAAATGAGGAATATTCTGCTGAGGGGAAACAGAGTATGCCATCCCAATATACCTTGCATATTGATTACTTGAGTTAAAGTTACTTAAGCAACAGCCAGTGCAAGAAAGGCATTCTGACCCTCTTTGTTCCCCTGAAAGTGGGAAATATATTTTTCATATGAATATACCTTCCCTATACCAGAAGGTAAAGAGATATCCCTATCAGCAGAAATAGGGAATTTAAAGCTAAGAAGTCTGTATAAAAAAAACCTGGGTGGCTTAGTTGGTTGAGTGTCTGACTTGGGCTCAGGTCATGATCTTGCGGTTTGTGAGTTCAACGCTCACATTGGGCTTACTGCTGTCAGCACAGAGCCCATTTCAGATCCTCTCTTCCCCTCCCCTGCCTGTGCTCTCTCTCAAAAATAAATAAACCATTACAAAAAAAAACCCAACAACTCTGTTACTTACTTACTAATTTAGTACCCCAACCCCAAACTTCTTTGTCTTGTCAATTCTTTACAAATTTATTGTTACTTTGTCTAAAAGGTATAACTGCCTGATTTGTTCACTTCTTTGAGTCTCATATTTCACTGAGCTCCTATACATACAAAATTAAATTTGTTTTTTTCCTGTTAATCTGTTTTATGCCAATTTAACTATTAGATCAAAGAACCTAGACAAGAAGGGATAAGTTTTACTACCAAATCAATACAATGAATAACTTCCCTTTATTGAAGTATCTACCAAAAATTTATCCCAATGATTTAAAATGCATTTCCAGTTAACAGTATTATTTCTGACCTAAAGTTGACTTCCACATGAACTAAACGCAGCTGTATCTAAGTGTAAACCACTGACACCTAAACCCATAACCCCTCAGGGGACATGGTAAAAACTCAGAACTCAGATGGGTTGTTACAATAGCTTCCAATCATTCATTCATTAAATATTTATTAAATATCTCTTAAAGATTCCAACTGTATGACATTCTGGAAAAGGCAAAACTACAGAGACTGTGAAAAGATCAGTAATTTCCAGGAGTTGGGAGGGGAAGCAAAAAATGAATAGGTGGAGGGCAGAGGACTTTAGGGATTTAAAATTTATTCACGGAACTGAATAAACTCAAAGACCCTCAGATAGGGGCATCTGGGTGGCTTAGTCAGTTGAGTGTCTGACTTTGGCTTACATCATGATCTCGCAGTTCACGAGTTGGAGCCCTGCATCGGGTACTGTCGGTGTGGAGCCTGCTACAGATCCTCTGTTCCTCTCTCTCTCTCTCTCTCTCTCTCTCTCTCTCTCTCTCTCTCTCTCTCTCTCTCTCTCTCTCCCCTCCCCTACTTACTCTCTCTGTCTCTCTCAAAATAAATTAATTAATTAAAAAATAAAGATCCACAGGTAAATTTCATGTGCCGTTTTGAATAAAAACTAAGATGTAATAAGGGAGAGGAGTCTAGACACATGCCCAGCACCACTTCAGATGAACTGTCTGTCCTTAGCAGGTGACTTCCGTGGCCAGGCTTTGAATGACTATTTCCCTCCTGGAAGTGCCTGTGCCTTGACTTTGTTAAGAAATACCTGGGTTCATCTTCATATCTATTCTTCACCCAAACTCCCTTCCACTTTCTAAAGATAACTCAGCCATGTCTTTTTGAGCAGCATCATGCACACCTTAGATGAATGTTTTCTTCTGTCAGAAGCTGTATGGTGTATTTAAACTTTTCTTCAGTCTCGGCAAGCTTGGTCTGGAGTGTTTTCTCCAGATTTCCCACTGTAGCTTTCTGAAAGACATGTAAATTTTAATTGCTCTCTTTCCCAAACCAGAGTCATCCAGAGCAAAGCTACATGGCAGAACCATACAGAGACCTGGATTCCTCTGCACAACCCTATCCCCACTCCAGCCAGGACTCACCTCTCTCTGGAGTTCCATCTGGGTTTGGTAGAGGGTTGTGTTAAGTGATTCTAAGATAACAGATTGTGCATTCAACTCTTCCTCCATGACCTGTTTAAGAAGACAACAATGTCTATCTATTTATTCTCTTCTGCAGGGTGCCTGGACTAGAATGTGAAGCATCAACTTTAGCTACTCCTTCTCCTTCACTGTTCAGTCACTGTGCCCTCTTACTTCTATCTCCTTTATGTCTTGCCCATCTATATCCTCATATGCAGACTCACTATCACTGCCCCAGAGCCAGCCCTCACCAGAGCTCCCGTGGTTGTCACAATAGCTACCAATCATTCATTTATTAAACAAATATTTATCAAATATCTACTCCAGATTCCAACTATATGACATTGGGGAAAATGCAAAACTATAGAGACAGTAAAAAGATCAGTTGTTGCCAGGGATTGGGAAGAGAAGCAGGGATAAATAGGTGGAGGACAGAGGAGTTTTAGGTAAAGAAAATATTCTGTATGATATTGCAGTGGTGGGTACATGGCATGATGCATTTGATAAAACCTATAGAATGCATAACACAAAGAGTGAGCCCTAATGTAAACTATGGACTTTAATTAAAAATGATGTATCAATATTGGTTCATCAGCTGTAACAAATGTACCCCACTAATGCAAGATGTTAATAATAGAGTATATTGTATGTTTGTGTTGGGGGAGGATATGGGCACTCTCTGCACTTTGTTTAATTTTTCAGTAAACCTAACATTGCTCTAAAAAATAGCCTTTAAGAAAAGTTGGTTTGAGAGAGAGAGAGAGAGCACACTAGTAGGGAAAAGGGGCAGAAGAGACAGAATCTTAAGCAGGTGCTGTACTCAACACAGAGGTCATGACCTGAGCAGAAATCAAGAGTCAGATGCTCAACCGACTGATCCACCCAGGCACTCCTTAAAAATAGTCTTTTAGTTAGGAAAAACACCTACTATTATAGGCACTAGGAATATTATGATGAATAAGAAAAATATAATTTCTACTCTTATGGAGATACACCCTAGTGAAGGGGATGAAAAAAATTAAATAAAAGTCAATAAAATAATTACAATAATAAATTAAAAACAAACCAAGGATGAAGATAGAAGATGCAGTGTTAGTGTGGGGAAGGGATAAATGTGGAATCTACTACATTAGATAAATGCTGAAGAGACAATAAAAATGATCCAGATGGCTCTGTGCTTTCAGATGTCAGCCTCATTTAACTCCTACATGTCTTCAGAGCTCTCCCCATGGAATAAGCATCTTCTCAAGATGTATAAACTAGAGAGGTACCATCTCTCACTGTATTTGCATTGTACAAAGCACTGTACTAGGTCATTTAGCATTCTTTTGTTTGCTTATTCATTCAAAAAAATCAGCTGGTATTTACTAAATGTCTGTGATGTGCCAGGTACTGTTCTAGAAACTGGAGATTAGTGGTAGAATAAACAGACAAAAATCTCTGCTTTCATTCATTGAGTTTATCAGGTTAGAAAGTTATAAATCTGTATAGAGGAGCGCCTGGGTGGCTCAGTCAGTTGAGCATCCAACTCTTGATTTCAGCTCGGGTCTTGATCTCACAGTTTGGAGAGCCCCTCATCAGGCTCCGTACTGAGTATGAAACCTGCTTAAGATTCTCTCTCTTCTTTCTATCCCTCTTCCCTACTCATGTGCTTGCTCTCTCTCTTAAAATAAATAAATAAATAAATGTAAAAAATCTGTATAGAAAAATAAAACAAGGAAATGGAAGTGTTGGGGAGGGTGTTAAGCCTTTAAATAGAGTGGCCCTTCAGAAATGGCATTTGAACAAAACCAGAAAGAGGTAAGGAAGTTAGTTGTGTGAATATCTAGGAAAGAGCTTCCCAAGAAGAGTGAATGTCAAGTGCAAAGACCCCAAGTAAAGGATCCTTGACTGTTAAAAATACAGCAAGGAGTCCAGTGCCATTGCAGTTGTGTAACGAAGGGGAAGAAATAGAAGGAGATAAGCACAGAGCAGGTAGAATAATCCCCAGCCTCAACACAGGACTGGGAATACATTCCCACCAACCAGAGTACACAGAGTATTGGGTAGACTACTCAGAAGGGTATTATCTCTGTAGGGGGGAAAATTAGCCTTAAACTAAAGACTGCTTTAACTTAACTGCATCCCAGAACAAAGTCCAACAATATTTAAAGAAATACAAAAATATTCAGCACCCAACAAGGTAGTTTGCAATCCACCTTTTTGGTTTGTTTGTTTTGATTACGCTTATGCTCAAGGTGGGGGTTGAACTCACAACCCAGAGATCAAGAGTCGCATGCTCTATGGACTGAGCCAGCCAGGCACCCCCCCCCCGCACCCAACAAGGTAAACTTCACAATGGCAGGCCTCCAAAAAAAAAAAAAAAAAAAATTACCAGGCATGTAAACAAGTGAGAAAATATGACCACAAATGAGGAGCAAAATCAATTAACAGAACCAGAAAGGAATGATAGAATTAGTAGACAAGCTCATTAAAGCAGCTATTACAATGCACTGGGTTTTCCTTGCTCCAAAGCCTATCTGTCTACCATGCAGGACATTGAGGCTTGTTGACCCAACAATGCTGAAGCCTTGCCTAAGCTCTAAGATATAATTCCATGATTTTATAATGGCTAGTCTTTTCCCAAACATGTCCATTCTGGATCCTAGTGTAAGAAGAATCAGAAGGCAGTTCATGGGTTTGAACAGTTTCCCTTTAGGTATCTCCCACACGGAAGTGCCATAATTTGTCCCAGAAGAACAGAATTCTTTGAGGAAGCTGTTGGGGTTGAGGCACATTTGGAATATCAAGGAGAGGCTTGGAATTAGAGTTCCCAGGGTCAGTATTGTACTTTTTAGAGCTTAAGGGAAGAATTTGGTATTTTACAAATCAAGACTCTTTTGTGGTTTGAGCCTTACTAGAAATGGAACGCATTTGACACTGAAGATCACACAGCATATTGCTCATATATTTGCTCAAATTGCTCTAAAAAGACACAAAGGCTCTGTTTTACAAATGACTTTGTATTATAGTTATAAAGTTCTATTTGACTTGTTGAATCCAGCAAACTCAGCTTTGGGTCTTCCTTTTGTTTTGTTTTGGAAAATTATAATAGATTCTATTTTATTGAGGGTATATAATTTTACTGGTGCATTTGTAAAATGCTAATTCCACAAGAAAAATGAAAGAGCTTACCTGTTTGGTCTTTCTCAGCTCCTCTAATTGCAAGGTGTCCTTTTCATGTTGTTTCAGTAGCTCCTAAAAACAATTTTATTCGGAAAAGGTCAGCACTGGGGTTTCTGGCACTTCTTTCAGAGACTTGAGAAAGCCAGAATAGGATTCCAGAATGTAGTATTCACCAAAGTTTAGATATTGGTGTAATGAAGCACACATTTAATTTGTTGAAGGTAAATTTTGAAAATCTTAACTTATGTGCAATATATATATATATGTTTAAATATATAATATATAAAAATATATAATATATAAATATATATAAATATATAATATATAAATACATAATATAAAAATATATAATATATAAATATATATAAATATAATATATAAATATATATTATATAAATATATATATATTTTTTAAAACTCAAGTTAGTTAATATACGGTGTAGTCTTGGCTTCAGCAGAACCCAGTGATCAATCTCTTACATAGAACACCCAGTGCTCATCCCAACAAGTGCCCTCCTTAATGCCCATCACCCATTTAACCCATCCCCACACGTATGTCCCCTCCAGCAACCCTCAATTTGTTCTCTGTATTTAAGAGTCTCTTATGGTTTGCCTCCCTCTCTGTTTTTATCTTATTTTTCTTTCCCTTCCCCTATGTACACCATACACACACAAAAAATCAAAATGGATGAAAGACTTAAATGTGAGCAGGAAACCATCAAAATCCTACAGGAGAAAGCAGGCAGCACCCTCTTTGACCTCAGCTGCAGCAACTTCTTATGTGACCTGTCTCCAGAGGCAAGGGAAATAAAAGCAAAAATGAACTATTGGGACCTCATCAAGATAAAAAGCTTCTGCACAGCAAAGGAAACAATCAACAAAACCAAAAAGGCAACCGATGGAATGGGAGAAGATATTTGTAAATGACATATCGGATAAAGGCTTAGTATCCAAAATCTATAAAGAACTCACCAAACTCAACACTCAAAAAAACAAGTAACCTAGTGAAGATCACAATTTCAGACTTTAAGCTACATTACAAACCTGTAATCATTAAGACAATATGGCATTGGCACAAAAACAGACACATAGATCAATGGAAAAGAATAGAAAACCCAGAAATAGACCCACAAATATATGGCCAACTAATCTTTGACAAAGCAGGAAAGAGCATCCAATGGAAAAAAGACAGTCTCTTCAGCAAATGGTGCTGGGAAGACTGGACAGTGACATGCAGAAGAATGAACCTGGACCACTTTCTTACACCATATCACATCAACAAATATTAAAAAGACACCATATTTTCATCAAGGACTTTGTTGTTAATGTACATATTTAATATTGTTGAATATTCATTTATCCACAGATTTATCTTTATATTCAATGCAATCTCAGTCAGAATACCAGCAAGCTTTCTTGACAAACTAATTCTGAAATTTATGTAGAAATATAAGTGATATAGAGGCACCTGGGTAGCTCAGTCAGTTAAGCGTCTAACTCTCAATTTTGGCTCAGGTCATGATCTGACAGTTCATGGGATTTGGCCCTGCATTGGGCTCTGTGCTGACAGTCCAGAGTCTGCTTGGGATTCTCTCTCTCTCTCTCTCTCTCTTTCTCTCTTTCCCACTTGCGCTTTCTCTCCCTTCTCTCTCAAACACAAATAAATAAACTTAAAAGAATGTAAATGATATAGAAGAGTCAAAATAACATTGAAACACAAGAGCAAAGCTAGATTTTTACTCCCTGATTTCAAGCTACAATAATTAAGATGATGGTTGTCTTGGCCTTGGTATGGACAAATAATTCAATGGAACAGAACAGAGTCTATTCCCCCTCACCCCACCCCTCAAAACACAGCAAAAACATCACGGCAACTTAATGGAGAATGGAAAGTTTTTTTCTATAAATCATGCTCAAACAAATAGATACTTATACAGAAAAAAGTGACCTATGACCTCTATCTCACTCTATACATAAAAATTATTCAAAATGGATCACAGAATCATAAAAATTAAAATTACAAAGCTTTTCAAAAGATAGAATATCTTTGTATCCTTGGACTAGGCAACAATTTCATAGAAAGGACACAAAAAGCTGTAATTTTCCTGTGAAAAGGAAAAAATTAATAATTTGGTTTTCATCAAAATAAAAAAATTCTGCACATCAGAAGACAACGTAAGTAAAATGAAAAGGCAAACCACAGGCTAGGAGACAGTATCTGTAACACATATATCTGACAAGGAACTTGTATCCATATTATGTAAAGGTCTCCTACATATCAATAATAAAAAGATAAAGAATCCAAGTTTTTTCAAATGACAAAAGACTTAAACCAGCATTTCACAAAAGAAGACATATAAATTGTCTGATAAGCATATAAAAAATTGCCCAACATAATAGTCAGGGAAATTAAAACTGTAATGAAATACCATTTCATACCATTTCATACCATTGGAAGGGTCAAAATTAAAAAGGATGTCAATACTAATTGTTGATGATAAGGAGCAACTGGAATTCTCATAGATTTAAGGTGCAAGAGTAAAATGATACAACTACTATGGAAAATAGCTTGGTATTTTCTTATAAAGTTAAACCTATAACTACCCGAGAGACCAATAATAATACTGCTAGGTATATACCGAAAGGAAATGAAAGCTTGTGCCTATGGAAATATTTGTACAAGGGTGGTTACAAAAGCCATAATTATAAAATAGGGAGGACAAAAAACGGAAACAACCCAAACCTCCAAAAACAGGGAAATGGTAAACATATTGTGTGATATTCCTACAAAAGAATACTACTAGATATAAAAAGTAAGAAATTACTGATATAAACAAAAAATAGATAAATTTCACAGGCACTGTCCTGTGGAAAAAGAAACTATATACAAAAGAGCATACACTACATGATTACATTTATATGAAACTTAAAAACAGGTGAAACTAATCTATGATGGGAAGAATCAAAACAGTGGTTGTCTTGGGTCAAGTTTTGAGGGAGATAGGGCTGAACTGGGAAGGAACACAAGACTGATTTCTGGATTGCTGAAATGCTCTAGATTTTTTTTTAAATTTATATCCAAGTTAGTTAGCATATAGTGCAATAATGATTTCAGGAGTAGAATCCAGTGATTCATCTCCTACATATGACACCCAGCGCTCATCCCAACGAGTGTCTTCCTTAACGCCCCTTAACCATTTAGCCCATTCCCCCTCCGGTAACCCTCAGTTTGTTCTCTGTATTTAAGAGTCTCTTACATTTTGTTGCCCTCCCCGTTTTTATGTTATTTTTGTTTTCCTTCCCTTATGTTCATCTGTTTTGTATCTTAAATTCCACATATGAGTGAAGTCATAATGATATTTGTCTTTCTCTAACTGACTAATTTCACTTAGCATAATACACTGTAGTTCCATCCACGTTTTTACAAATGGCAAGATTTCATTCTTTTTGATTGCCGAGTAATACTCCATTGTATATATATACCACATCTTCTTTATACATTCATCTGTCGATGGACATTTGGGCTCTTTCCATACTTTGGCTGTTGTCGATAGCATTGCTATAAACATTAGGGTTCATGTGCCCCTTCAAAACAATGCTTTTGCTAAGTGTAAATTATGCTTCATGAGAGAGACAGAGAGAGTACCATTTACAGATTCATAGTCAGCATCATTGGAGAAAAAATAGAAGAGAGGAAAGGATGCATGCAGATGATCAACTCTCTCCCCACTAGAGGAATTGCTACTTCTTATTCAGATGTCTGAGCTCTCTATACCCCAGAAGAACTGGACACACTGCACAGCATGTCCCACACCCACATTACTGTTTTGCTCAGTTATAGTGAATGTCAGAAATGGGCTTTTATTGGTGAAATTAGTGTTTTTTTAATTAGCATGATAGTTGGAAATGTACTCTTAAAAATGGAATATTGAAGGTAGATACTATTTAAATTTTTCTTTTTACATTTTTATTTATTTTTGAGAGACAGAGACAGAGCACAGTGGGGGAGGGGCAGAGAGAGAATGAGACACAGAATCCAAAGCAGGCTCCAGGCTCTGAGCTGTCAGCACAGAGCCCGATGCGGGGCTCGAGCTCACAAACTGTGAGATCGTGACCTGAGCCAAAGTCAGACACTTAACCGACTGAGCCACCCAGGTACCCTGAAGGTAGATACTATTTTAGAGACACTGTCCACTTTGCAGGAAAAAAGTACAGGAATCTAACAAAGCCTATAGCCTACACACTCAGGAATGGTGTCTAAGGTTTGATCCCTAAATGGTCCTGTGTCTGCTTAGGAGGAGCTCCAGCTGCCAGATGCTGACTACAGTGGTTACAGAATCCTACCTCTGTACTACCCTTGCATACACCTCTGATGAGTCTTTCATGTACCTAAAAGTTCAGAGAGCTGGTGGTATAACCACTTGGGGCCTGCTTGCTAGTAATGCATGTTTATTTAGTAAATGTCTGTATGTCTGAGACCTGTTTTCACTATGATCTGGCATCAGTATCAAGGTTGTAGGGGAGTGATTAACAAGAGTAGCTACATTTTAACCCCTCTAACTTTTGTTTTTCTTTCAATGTTTATTTATTTTTGAGAGACAGAGACAGAGAGTGAGTGGGGGAGGGGCAGAGAGAGAGAGGGAGACACAGAATCTGAAGCAGGCTCCAGGCTCTGAGCTGTTAGCACAGAGCCCAACTTGGGGCTCAAACTCACAAACCGTGAGATCATGACCTGAGCCTAAGTCACATGCTTAACTGACTGAGCCACCCAGGCACCCTTACCCCCTCTAACTTTTAGATAGATCCTCTTAATTACTAAGAGCTATACATGACCAACTTGCTTAGTTTAGTTTGCTACACTGCCCTTTCTCTTCAGCTACAGTCAAGAATGAGGAGGACATTCAGAAACTGGGAAAATTTGGCAAAATAGGGAATTTCACGTTTTGTATGTGTTTAGCATTCTATTATTTCCCACTAGTTTCAGATTTCATTCCACAGTGACCCTGTGGTAAGACCATGTAGATAAAGGACAGCAAGACTGCCAGTCTACTTGCATATATTTCCAAGGAAGCTGGGAAAGGAAGAATATGCCCATAAAGGCAAAATTGTGCCTAATTACAGAGGCACACCTAGGAACCGGATGTCCCACCTAGGCTTCATGCTCAACCACTCATGTGCTTTGGGCTAAGTTACCTCCTTCTCTCGATTGAAGTTCTCAAAGACGGTACTGTAGGAGTCATTTATTTTCTTCTTTTCTTCTTCTGACTCTAACTCAAACCTTTTTGTCATATTATGTTCTGGGGGTGAGAAGAAATTACGTATATGAGTAAATGTGGGGAAAGCACATGCAGAGAGAAACTGAGAATATCTGAAGGTAATAAAAATTCCAGACTGGGTCAAACTCAAGTTCCTTTCAGCCTGTCATTCAGCCTCTGATGCTCACCTAGAAATGCTTGGGAATCAGGTGAACATGGTGGCAGTTTTCAGTGATATCAGCCATATGGTTTTACTCCTAATGTCTCTGATTTGTGTGTGTGTGTAATTTTAGATCTGTTGCTTATTATTTTGTCCATTCCCTCTGCTGAAGTAACTACGTTTTCTTGGATATTCTTACCTTAAAATATAGCTCTTGACTAATGTGAATTTTCCAGCAATAAAATTTATTCTGTACTTAACCCTGGGGTAGAGGAAGGCTTAAAATGTTTCTGGTGCAGGAGAACTTACCAACTGAGCCCCAAAACCAAAGAGGAGAAAGGAGGGGTGAGGGGCTGACACAGATTTCTTCTTCAGCTTCATGGTGCTGGGAATTATAGGGAGGCAACCCCTAGGCTCATCCTGTGAATAAGCTGGGAATGATAGGAGGCTACCCCTAGAGGGCTGAGCTACACTATGCACAGCTGAAGTCTGCTCTTTCAAAATTGGGTGTAACATCTTACTTAGATTTTGACAACGTGGGACGAGTGTGGTATGGGTGGCCAGAAGTCTGGAAGAAGACCTGGGTTATGTTACACCAGGCTTCTGAGTAAAGCCTCAGATAGGTTCAGCTCCTCATTCCTTTCCTCACCCTTAGTTCCAGGGTCTTCATGCTGCCTTCCTGCAGTCAAGAGTCCCCACCAGAGTGGGAATAACCTTGAGGATTAACTTACCCAGGGAGTTTCTGCATTTAAATGAGTAATTTGTTGGGCGCCTGGGTGGCGCAGTCGGTTAAGCGGCCGACTTCAGCCAGGTCACGATCTCGCGGTCAGCGAGTTCGAGCCCCGCGTCAGGCTCTGGGCTGATGGCTCGGAGCCTGGAGCCTGTTTCTGATTCTGTGTCTCCCTCTCTCTCTGCCCCTCCCCCGTTCATGCTCTGTCTCTCTCTGTCCCAAAAATAAATAAATGTTGAAAAAAAAAAATTTAAAAAAAAAAAATAAAAAATAAATGAGTAATTTGTTGAAAACAACCAAGTTTGATATGAACTGGGGTGAGGTAGGATGTGGTATAGGTTTGTAGAGGCTCCACTCCTACCTCAACCAGTCCTCTAGGTCAGGGAGCAAAGTCTCCATAAATTCCTTTCTTCTTTTTCCACTTAGGAAGATGCTTGCTGAGGGTAGGAGGCTCATCCATAACACACTTTTTTAAAAGTGGGCTCTACTCCCAGTGTGGAGTCCAACATAGGGCTTGAACTCACAACCCTGAGATCAAGACCTGAGCTGAGATCAAGGGTCTGACACTTAACTGACTGAACCATCCAGGGCCTCCATAAAACACTTTCTATGATCCAAACTCTGTGCTAGGTGTTGGAAATACTAAAAATGTATAGTAATATATAAATGTATCAAATCAACATGTTGTACTCTTTAAACATATGCAGTGTTATATGCCAATTGTACCTGAAAAATGGAGATCCTCTGGGGGGATATGGGAATACAGAGGCTCTCAGTATGATTGTGTTGTCACTCTCCCAACAAGTGAATATTTGAAACTCTAATTCCAGAACATTTTTCTGGAAATTTGGGGTCACTTGTATCCAGGTAACAAGTCAATGCTCCTACAGATGTCCCAGAGCTTGTTCCAGACCATGATGGCTAAGCTTGGAATTGGAGAGCTTTGGAAGGTACGGGCTTATACCCTCAAATAGCTGAGTTTTATAAAAGACTCCATCCTTGTTGTCACTTGTTGAAAACTCCATGTACTCTTGATTCAGGAATCCAGCCCTGTGGCCATCACCTTTAATGAATCTAAAGCTGATGTTCTCAAGCTAAGACCAAACTTAATGGCAGGTTTTTTTTGGTACACGTGCCATCAAAAAGAGAAGTTCTTGTACTCACTTTGCTGTAGCAGGATCTTTTCCCGCTCCAACTTCTCATCCTTCTCCCATTCGGCTTTCTTCTTCAACCACTTATCTTCCATTTCATCATAAATGCTGTCCTGCAGAGGTACAAAGGCATTATGAAAAGAATCCTGGAGAAGACTGCACACTGGCTCCAGGCACAGCATTGGGCCCTTTAAAGCTTCCCTCACTAGAATGCTTGCTGGGAGTCCCTCTGTGGGTGGTTGGTGGGAGTAAATTCTAGCCCAGCCCATCCAAGGGCCTGTAGAACCCTAAAGTCAAAGGCAAGTTCTGCATGTGTTTGTCCCACTGGAACTGGGTTTCCTTTGAAGACAGGTAGGACTCCCCTGCTGCAAATTCACATGTCAGCTCCCTCTGAATCATGAATCACTTATCAACAGCCCATGAAGAAACAAGGGAAATGCCTAGTAGTTAATTTGAACACTTAGAAAACAATAGTATGTTTTTCAGACACTGTCTATTTTTAACTCAGCAAATCTAACTTCCTTTGTGGGTGAGGTTAAATAAGCCTAACCTGATGCCAATCCTGTTGGTTGGTTCAGACTTCATGGGGGTGGGACTCCAGGAGGAGGAAGGCCTAGGACCTGGATGCTGCTAGTAACGTCTCAGTACCCTGACCTCCTTTTTTTCCCCAGGTTAGCAGCATAACTCACACTGGGGCCAGACATCAGAGCTCATTTGTAATTGTTTATGGCCATTTAGGTAAAGGTTCTCATTTATCATTTTCAAGACTGGTGGGCAGCTCAGTTTCCATAGAGGTCAAACTCTCTGGAGAGGTACAGACTGCAGCAAACGTAAGGGGCAGCTTACCCACACATCAGTCTGATGCTTCTCCTAGGCTTTGCTCTAAGATGTTTTCCCTCACTGTATCAAGATACATCTTGAAAAACAAGTTTTAGATACAAGCTCGAAACTGAAACTGTGGATGGTAAATAGAATTTCAGAGGTGGTGCTGGTGCTTGACTTGGTTTCCTCCTTTAAGAGGGTGGTCAACTGTCTTTGTTTGAGACTGAGTTGTGTCCCAGGACCCTGAACTTTTGATGCTAAAACTTGGAAAGTCCTGGGCAAACCACAACTAGCTGCTCACCAATAGGATGGGGGTTTGCTGCCTCAGCCTGTTCATTCCTCATCTCCTACTCTCTCATCCCACTAAGAAGAAATCATGGCCTGTTTCCCCAGGCCTCCCTCAAATTAGCTGATTCAATGAATGAGTTACATTGTGAGATGGCTAGAGCATCCCAGGCCCAGCTGGTGAGGGTGCAGTGAGAGAGTCTTTTTTGGAGGCAATTTGGCCAAATGTATCAAAGGCCTTTAAAATGTTTATCCCTTTTGGCCCTGCACTCTACTAAAATCAAAGATGTTACAAAGTGCAAATGCTAACAGCAGATTGTCTTGCGGTGGTAATTCTCTTTTGTTGCTGTTGTAGTTGGTTTTTGTATTTCAATTTTTTAGAAACCATGAGCAGGTATTACTTTTGTAATTACAAACATATTTGTCAGTGGGCTTCTTTAGGGAGTGGGTGACTGATTCACACATGGAAGCCACCACGGTCTGAAGGTCACTCTTCTCCCTGGGTGTACTTAGTGCCACCTAGAACCAAGGATGCTGGGAATCTGAGGAAATTATTTTCTGGGCAAGAGCTGTAGATTCAGCCTGATGTCATCAGCCAGGAATGAGCCTTGCCTCTTACTTTCATAATCCAAGGAGCTCTGAATCTCACCTGATACATATGAAACATATTCTTCAAATACTTATACTCCTTTCCCATTTCATCTGGACAAAAGGAAAACAACAGGGTCATCATTATTCCTCCGAAATGAATGTTTTCATACTCAAGTGCGAGCTCTCCTGTACTCTTCCTCCATCTCCAACTCATCCTCTAGGTGTTAAAACCATGTTGCACCTCAAGAATAACCCTGGAGACTTATTAGAAATCCAGACGCCTGTCTTCTTTTCCTACTCCCCACCTCCACCCAGCCAAACCCACTGAATTCAGGTCTCAGAGGAGAGGCCTAGCGTCTGTGGATAATATGCTTCTCAAGTGATTCTGATGCATACCAAATGTGAGAACTAATCCCTGGGGGTAAACCTGCATCTGTGGGGAAAAGAGGAGCAAAACCTTGTAGTATGCACCTGCTTCCCTCTTTTTAAAGCAGTTTTATTTATTTTTTAATGTTTACTTTTGAAAGAGAGAGAGACAGAGTGCAAGCAAGGTGAGGGGGCAGAGAGAGAGGGAGAGAAAGGATCCAAATCAGGCTCTGTGCTGTCAGTACAGAGCCCGATGTGGGGCTCAAACCCACGAACTGTGAGATCATGACCTGAGCCAAAGTTGGACGCTTAACCACCTAGGTGCCCCTGCTTCTCTCTTTTTAAAGCAATGTTTCCAGTGTACGCTGATTTTGAAAATGATACATGTTTTCTTTAGAAAATTGGAAAATCAGCAAGCCAAAAGTACCCTCTTTTTAAAAAGTAAGGCAAAATAAAGGGAGAAGATTATAGAATTTCTCCTTCTCCCTATGGAGATTAGTCTATAATCTCAGAATTCTGAAGGATACACATTTCGCCCTTCCCGAGGACAGCATAAATAATGGGATAAATGGCCAACACAACTCTTATGCATTATAAGGCCATATAAATCATAGTGTGCTATTATAATATAATGAAACACCACCATTTTACAGATGATGTAACTTGCTGGATTACAATAATATTATATTTGTAGAGTAAAAATATATTTTAAAAAGGTGCTTTCACATTCTTATCTCTCTGATAAAGGCAGGTATTATAGTCCTCAATTCTTAGACAGAATAAATGAGACTCAAGGAGATTAAGGACTTGCTCAGATCCTAACACTTGGTTGCAGGCCAGTCTATCACCTGGGCATAGGAGGGACACTGATGACATGGTTTCCCTCTTTTCAGTTTCATTCTCAGTCACTCCCTGTCTCTGAGCTTTAGGAGGACATCTGGAGAGCATAGTCCCAGCCCATCCATGACCACGGGAGTTCTTTGGTCCTAGACCCCCATGGTCAGCCTCTCACCCTTCCCCAGGGTCATTCTCCCCAGTCCAGACCATACCTAGTTTTTCTTGGGCAGCCAGCTTCTCTGCCTTCAGTGTGGCTTTGTAGTTGTTCTCCAAATGACTGAGCTCTGCTGCGTGAGCCTCTTTGAGCTCTCTGTGCGACCCCGGGAGAAGGCCACAATCAGTGAAAAAAAGTCCAGAGCTGAGCTGTTACACTCAGTTGATCCCACCTTTCCCCATCACACAGGCAGTTGTGGGCAGCCTGCAGGGCCTTCACTTCCTGACTCATTCTCCTGGCATCCACCCAAAGAAGGTGAGAAGACCCATTTTTACCAACTATTATTTTGAATGGAGCTGGTGGAGACCATAGACTCCTGTGCTAATAGCACAGTATTTGTTTATGGCTGTCTTGGGAAACTGTAGGCTGCATTAGCATCCAGGATAATTTTAGAGCCCAGGGTCTCTTCAGCCTCCATTCCAGGGGGCAGAAGCTGGCAGTGTTCAAGATGAATGTCAAAAAGAAAGGCTATATGAGCTGTGAAGCCAAGAGAAGACATGGAGGAACATTAAATGCATAATAGTAAGTGACCAAAGTCAATACATAAAGCCTACACACTATATGATTCCTACTATATGATATTCTGGAAAATGCACAGCTGTGGAGACAGTAAAAAGATCAGTGTTTGCCAGAGATTAGTGGGGAGGGAGGGATGAATGAGCAGGGCACAGAGGATTTTTCAGGGCAGTGAAACTACTCTGTATGATACAATAATGGTGGACACATGTCATTATACATTTGTCAAAACCCATAGGATGTACAACACCAAGAGTGAACCCTAATGTAAACTATGCACTTCGGGTGATGGTAATTTATCAATGTAGGTTCATTGATTGTGACAAATGCATCACAATACTGCAGGAGTTAATGATTACTTGGGGTGTGCAGGTGTGGGGTCAGGCTGTCTGTACTTTATGCTCTATTTTACTGTGAACCTAAAACCGCTCTAAAAATAATGAAAGCTATTATATAACAAATATGTTACTTATTTATTATAATTTTTTGGAGGCAAGTCTATGACTCAGTGAGGTATACTTCTCTCTGCTGGGACTTCTGAGGCTGCTCTGGTGCCCAGCAGGTAGCCTGGAAGGAGGTTTTGAAGGTTTTCTCACCCACATAGGCAACACACTTCCTTTTACTTCCCCTTGGCTTGTCTTTGTGGCTCTGGCTCCTGCTCCTCCCATACCTTCTTCCCATTCTGCCCAGGTCCCGGGAGTAGCCAGGAGAGTAGAAATGACAGGACAAAAATGAGGAAGAGAAAGAGGGGGGAGGAAGTGAAGAGGCAGGGGAAATAGGAGGAGGCTGGGCTGAGAACAATAGTTGTCTGTCACAGAAATCTCATAGAGAATGAAAACTGGCTCTCCTCAGCAATCAACAGAAAGGGAGATTATACTTGAAACAAAGTAATTGGATCAGAAAGTGCAAAACTAGGAATGACCTTCTCTGTGCTACATTTTGGTGGCTTCACATCAAACCATCTTGCCCATTTCCCCCATCCCCACCTACCCAACTCCATTTGGCACTATCTGAAATCCCAGTGAAACAAAATCTTGCAAGGAAGCAAGAGTCTTAGGGCCTTCAGCACACAGCAGCTTGTGCTAGAACGCTTACCTGTTTTTGTTTTCGAAGTTCTGCTGCATCTCAGCACAGCGGACAGCCATTTCATCGGAGAGCTGGGAGCAACATAGCATTAACGATATAGGATCAAGGATCCCACTCCCACTGCAGTCTGCAATTTCTGAGAAGCCTTCACGTTCATAGGGTGTGCTCTACTCCCCACACTCTCTTCTTTGTGTTCTCCAATCCCAGAGAGCACATCACTACTCAGGGAATGGAGCAATCCTTGCCTTGGTCTATTGCTGTTTGGTATGTAATCAGTTCATAATGTTGGTGCACAGAAACCATCTCTTTCACTAACTGGTTTTATAGGCAGGTCTGGTCTTTTTGCTGGACAGCAATCTCTAAGATCTTGGTCTTTGGATTTCTTTGATACATAATTCAATTAAGTTATCATCTATTGAGCAAAGAGCTTTCCCTGGAAGAGCCAAAGAGGCCCAAGACTCAAACTCCACACTTTCAATGAACTTAAAATCTGGTGTTAATAAAGCCTCTTTGTCAGAAAGGTATGTTACCGCAGGCAAAATTTGCTCATTTCCAGGTGACCTTCCATTTTAACCATCAGATTCTCTGGTTAGTGTCTCAGGAGGAAAGGACACTTCCAGAACAGTCAGCACCCACTGCAAACTGAGACAAAAGGGTTCAGGGCTCTCCCTGTCCCTCTCTGTCTACACACTGGCAGCCAGCACTACAGCCTTCCACAGGGTCACACAACAATTTGGGATGTTCACAGGTGGGAGAATTTTAAGTATCACAATATGAGGTCCCTGCACGGAAATAATCTCTAAATAGGTCTTTAGCAGGGCCAATGATTCAGTGAGTGAAAATGTGCATTTTGCAACAATAATCCACTATTGATGACTGATCTCATAGAACTTATTTAACTTCCTGAGCCTTAATTTCCTATCTGTAGAAGCAGACCACAAACCTGGCAGGGTTTTCAGATAAATATAGTAATGAACCAACAGTAGGGGAGGTCTCAGTGTGAGTCACAAGCGAGGTCACTGTAGGATTCAGACACATCTGGGGCATGTCAGAGGGTGAGGGGTAGGACTGGTGGGAAGTCGACCTTCACAAGTGGGTTTCAATAACAACAGGCAAGTGGGATGTGGGGGAGGCTGTTTCTGAGCATTGCTCTGGTTTATCACTCCAGCCCAGGCCAACAGGCACCCCTGCTTGAGGTGGGGAAGAAGAGACTATGATAAAGCAGATGGTACAATCTAAAGGAGTTGTCACCAAAATCCCCAGGAAACACAGAGTGCAGACTGATCTCAGCAAATTCTGAAGTGGGCTTTGGCAATTTTAACAGCAACAGGAAGTGGGTACTGAAGGGTTCTGGGTAGCTTTTGAACCACACTGAGTGCATTAACCACACTATTGCCATTAGGAAGAGACTCGGCACCCTCTGAAGTTTAACTCTCCACAGCAAGCCTGACGTGAGATGCTGGCACCCCTTGGTGTGGTGAGTTCAGTAGCAATGTACACACTGCAGGCACATAAAGAACTCCTGGAAATTGACTTAGGCTTTGAGAAAAGATTTAAGTTCTTGCAGTCATGGATAAGGATGGAGTCAGAGAAATCCTACTGTGTAGCCACAGTCCTATCTTCAGAGCTGTCACCTAGACAACATGGCTCCCGAGAGTAAAGCGCTTGGCATCTTGCCTGGAACATAGCAGGTGATCTGAAAAAACCGGTCTTTCCCCTACCCATAGAGATGTCAGCTAACTCAAGGATCACTCACCAATTTCTGGGCAGACTGATGGTCTCTGTTCATTTGCTCAATGATCACTGTCAATTCTGAGATCTGCTCTTGCAGGTCAGTAACGATATCAGTCCTATGGGACAAGGAATCCTTCTATCATCCACAGAGCTTCCATTCTGTGCCAGTCAGGCACCTCCCTGTACGTGACTATCTCTGGCTTGGTGACAGTCAGGCCATGTTCTGCATCTGCTCCATCATCATGGGGGTCATGGGAGGGGTGGAAGAGTAGTCTGGGAGAAGGAATTAGGCAGCAGGGTGGTTGAGCCTCAGATCAGACCTTTTGGGTAAGCTAACCTGCAGTGGGGGGTGTGAGTAGGTGGAGGAGTGGATTGGTTACCCGCTGAATAGAAGGGGAAGAGGAATATGTCAGAGATCTATCAGGGTTTGACCTTGATTCAGTAATGACAGTTGAAATGGAGGAGGAAAAATTCAGAGGATTAGGAAATGGGAAGGTGGGAGATGGATTGATGCTGACAGTGTATCATAGACAAGGAATGGCCCAGACACAGGACAAAGAGGGGATTTCAGAGCATGGCTTGCAGAATAGATAACAATTTTCTGTGTTTCTGGGTTTGGAGCCTCCATGATGTCCGTAAGTTATTTAGCTCTATTTGGTTGAGCTGGAGTAGACAGGGTGGCAGGTAGTGACGTGTGCAGTGCAGCAGAGATGGTCCTCCATTCAACAAGGTGAGGGAACAAGAGAGAGGATGTAGGAGGAGACAGGGAGAGAGAGACATGAAAGAGAGATCTAGGAAGTAGAATGGATAAGATGTGGGAGCTGACTTTATATGGCATTTGAGGATAGAGTGGGTAGGGCCTGAATGACAGAGAGGATGCACTGTGCTCAACTGGGGTAGACTCAGCCAGAATCTTCCATGCTATGCCTCCCAGAGGCATGAACTGAGTGACATCTTTGGGCAAAATGAGAAAGAGATGCATACTCAGCTCCCCAAAAACCCTGACTTTACTCTTACTTTACACCTTCCAAATTCAGACTATTTTATGAATATTTCATCTGTTCATCACCTCTAAGAATAATTGCTTTCCTTTAGTACAAATTATACTATACCCAATCACTTTTCAGGTCAGCTGCCTGACCTGACCTTTGTCCTGTTTCAAATGGGATCAGGGCAGAGAGATGGGTGTGGAGAGGAGCAGCACAGGGATGAGGAGTGAAGTGACTTTATAGCACCTTCAGAACAGAGACCCTGTGCATTGGGCATGGAAGTTAGGAGCTTCTCCTTGAGGCCAGGCCAAGCCCAATAGTGATAGCTCTGAGGAGCTGGATATAGGTCCAAGGGCATTACCTGGAAATCTGGACTCTGTCCATGATCTCTGATTGCGACCGCTTTTTCTTATCAAACATTTCATCTCCCAAGGTGATGGAAATCTGCTCCCTATTTCGAATGAGGCGATAACCAGGTGACACGTTTATCACTTCCTGGGCATCAAGGTGGAAGGTAAGATAATATTGCAGACCTGGAGTGCAGAGATTCCTCCAAATCTTCCACTAGAGTGCTACTCACATCTTAGACACAGAGACATGAGGTGGGATCCCAGATCCCAAGTCCCTCCTGTGCATTCCCCAGTTACCACTCACCCTCATACTCCAGCCCAGATTTCTCTCCTGAGATCTGGTCTCAAGACTCAAATGGTTCCTGGATGTTCCCAAAGGCCTCTCAAGCTCAACATGTGCAACCCTAAATGCTGACACTTCACTCGGCACTCAGCCCCAAGCCCTGCACCTCGTCTGCATTCTCCACACGGCCAGAGGCTAGAAGGCAGTCAGACACCACGGAAATTGCTAAGTTTTGGGAGTTAGACAGGCCTGAGTTCAAATGCTGGCTCTGCCACCAACTATAGTTATTCAATATCTGTGTGCCTCAGTTTCCTCATTAGAAAATTAGGATAACTCTTCCTCAAAGGGCTTTTATGAGGAAAGCCAAAATAACAGGAGAAAGTGTCTAGCACGGTTATGAAAACAAACAAACACATCTATTTTAGTCAGTTCTTCCTCTATTCCCCACTAGACCCAAGTCAGAAATCTGGCAGGGCTACCAGCCTGCATAGACCAGGATAAGATTGTGCCCTCTAGGTTGTGTAGGGCACCCCTAAGGCAACACAAGTCCTGTCATTGTTATTGCCTAATTGTACCCCAGCTTCATCTTCTCCTCTCCACACTCCTGCCCCTGGAACAGCCTAAAGCCACCCTCCTCTTTCTCTTTGGCTTTGGCCATACCTGCCCAGCTGGCCTCCCTGCCTTCATTCTGGCTCCCCTAAAGTTCATCATCCTCTCTGTCTGGAGGGCAATAACATTTTTGGTTTTTTTCCTGACTGTTAAGGAAATGCATGATCCTTATTTAAGGGGAAAAAAAGAAAATAGATAAAAATCCCATAGTAAAAAGTACCAGTATTATCCCATCAGACAATGTTTTTTCTAGAATGTAAATCTTACCTGGTACTGTGTCTGTGTCAGACCCATGAAGGTTCCCAGACACCGGAAGGATTAGGCCCAAACTCCTAGGCAGCTATTGAGATCTTCCTGGGTTTAGTTCCCATCTCTTTCTCCAGTGTGGTCCTGGCCCTGCTCCCTTTCTCTGTTGTCCCTGCCCTAGCATTTGTGGGTTCCCCAGTGTGACAGTGGGGGGTTTCTGGCATGTGGGCATGAGCTGTACCCTAGCCTGGACTGGTGGTCAGTGTCTGGTTTCCTTGGCACAGTCTTCTTGCCATGCACAAGGCAGTAGAGAGTGGCAATTACATGCCCTCTCTGAGGTCTGGCTCAGCTGAGTTCAAGTCCTTTTTCTGCCACTTACCAGTTACGCTATGTGCAATAACGACAGCCCCTCCTCATAGGATCATTGCAAAGATCCAATGAGGTACGTACATGTAAAAGGCCTGTGCTTGCACAAAGTAGGCACTCAGTAAATGTTAGTCCCGCTGCCCCCTTCATGTTTTTACTCACATAAGGTGGTTTATTGCTCTCTTCTTGTTTTCCTAAATGGAGTTTCCCTCTGCAAGAGAAAGACGTGCTCAGAAAGCAACCAGGGAGCAAAGAGAAGTTCAAAGCTTAGAAGCTGCTCCCTGATCCCAATTGCTCATATGTAAAAAGTGACATTACTGGGATGATCTCTGAGGCCCCTTTCAGCTCTGAAATATTCTACTCAGGAACTAAGGAATGTTCAATGGTCCCGAGATCATTGGTATAGAGATTGTGATAAAAAGGCAGGAAGTAAAAAAGTGGGGAGTTGACTATCATGCCTATTAGAACCACTCCTAAAATAAGGGTCAAGAGACTTGGCCTGAGAATCCAAAGGGCTCTCCTATAGTGCATAATCTCAAATGAGCACACTAGTGACATTTACGTTGTCTGCACAAAAGCCTTTCTTATTTGCACCAGAAATTAGTGATATGGGACCTGAAATGGTCAGTATCATAAATTCAGGATAAGTAAATGGTTAATCCTGGTCATAATTAGTTGTTGTTTTCAGGTGTAGAAATGTGAACATATCAGGTATCCAAATATCAAGCGTATTTGTAAGGGACCTCACCTGGAAAGTTGAAAGATTGGAATAAGAGTAACCAGTTTCTGATGTGCTGACAACAAGACTAGTTAGGCTTAGGTATATGAAGCTAGGGCATTTTCCCTCTGCTTCAGCAAACACTCACACCCATATACATACAATCAGGCCAACTGCTGTGAAAAGAAACAACCAAAACTGATCTAGGAGTTCCATTTTCCCTATGATCAAAATAACCACAATATCTTTAAGGGTTGTGGAGTGGTTACCAGGGTGAGGCTGTTCCAAAGTCAGCTGGGTATGGGGGTGTGGGGTTGAGAGGATTTTTCTTGGTGGAGGCAGTTCTACCTTGGCTAATAAAGTCTGGTTTTGATCCCACATCTCCCACCCCCCAAATGAGGCCTCCAGAGAGGCACTGAAGACTCCCTTGAGAAAACTAGCCCAAGGATTTGGCTACTGTAGATACTATTATTTTTACTGGCGAAAACATGACTCTGTGTGTTAAAAAACAGACATGAATGCACCGTATACTTTGATAATACAATGGGACTCATATGTAATTGAAAAGATTTAAAACCACTTAAAATACAACTCAGTTCATAGCAACCCATTCATAAACCAGGAACTCTTTACAATGCTAATTTGGTTTACTTTCTCTGAATTTAGGAAAGCCTTGGGGTGGTGGTGGTGGGGAAATCACTGAGTAACCTGGATCTCTTTAAAAAGCTGGCCATGGAGACAGAGAGGAAGATGGAGGCATAGGAGGATGCTGGGCTCACCGCGCGTCCTGCTGATCACTTAGATTCCACCTACACCTGCCTAAATAACCCAGAAAACCGCCAGAGGATTAGCAGAACGGAGTCTCCAGAGCCAAGCGCAGACGAGAGGCCCACGGAAGAGGGTAGGAAGGGCGGTGAGGCGGTGCGCTCCACGGACTGGCGGGAGGGAGCCAGGGCAGAGGGGCGGCCCGCCGGCCGGCAGAGCCCCCAAGTCTGGCTTGCAAAAGCGGAGGGGCAGGATGGAGTGTGTTCTGACAGCAAGCGGGACTTAGCATCTGGGAGGTCATAAGTTAACAGCTCTGCTTGGAAAGTGGGAAGGCTGGAGGACAACGGGAGGGAGAGTTGCTGAGCCCCTGGACAACAGAGCTCAGTTTGGCAGGGAATAAAGGCGCTTGCCAGCACCATCTCCCTCGCCCATCCCCCAGCCAAAATCCCAAAGGGAACCAGTTCCTGCCAGGGAACTTGCTTGCTCCCCGCAAACGCCCAACGCTGTGCTTCTGCGGAGCCACCCCTCCGGCAGCGGGTCTGACTCCCTCCCGCTGCCACAGGGCCCCTCCTGAAGTGGATCACCTAAGGAGAAGCGAGCTAAGCCTGCCCCTCCTGCCCCCGTGCACCTTGCCTACCCACCCCAGCTAA